CCCCCCAAAATAAAGTCAGTCACTGTTTCCCCACCTATTTGCCATGAAGCGATGGGCCTGATGCCATGATCTTAGTTTTCTGAATGCTGAGCTTTAAAACAACTTTTTCACTCTGCTCTCTGACTTTCATCAAGAGGCTCTTTAGTTCTTCTTCACTTTCTGCCAAAAGGGTAGTGTTATCTGCATATCTGAGGTTATTGATATTTCTCCCAGCAATCTTGATTCCAGCTTATGCTTCATCCAGCCCGACATTTTGCATGAGGTACTCTGCACATAAGTTAAATAAGCAGTGTGACAATATACAACCTTTATGTACTCCTTTTCCTATTTGGAACCAGTCTGTTGTTCCACATGCAGTTCTAACTGTTGCTTCCTGACCTACATACAGATTTCTCAAGAGGCAGGTCAGGTAGTCTGGTATTCCTATATCTTTCAGAATTTTCCACAGTTTGTTGTGATTCACACAGTCAAAGGCTTTGGCATAGTCAATAAAGCAGAAATGGATGTTTTTCTGGAACTCTCTTGCTTTTTTGATGATCCAGCAGATGTTGGCAATTTGATCTCTGGTTCCTCTGCTTTTTCTAAACCCAGCTTGAACATCTGGAAGCTCACAGTTCACGTATTGCTGAAGCCTGGCTTGGAGAATTTTGAGCATTACTTCTCTAGCATGTGAGATGAGTGCAACTGTGCAGTAGTTTGAGCATTCTTTGGCATTGCCTTTCTTTGGGATTGAAATGAAAACTGACCCTTTCCAGTCCTGCGGCCACTGCTGAGTTTTCCAAATTTGCTGGCATATTGACTGCAGCACTTTCACAGCATCATCTTTCAGGATTTGAAATAGTTAAACTGGAATTCCATCACCTCCACTAACTTTGTTTGTAGTGATGTTTCCCAAGGCCCACTTGACCTCACATTCCAGGATGTCTGGCTCTAGGTGAGTGATCACAGCATCATGATTATCTGGGTAATACGTAAGTACCCCAACAAAAACAGGAAGTCAAGGGGAACACTGAGTTTTTTGTATGATTTAGCTTAAGGGAAGGAGGTGCAAATGAGATCCTAGTTGGGACTTGTTACATTTGAGAAACCAGTTGCAAACATTTGATACCCAATTAGAAACATCACTAGAGTACTGAAGAAGGCTTCATCCTAAGGAATTCTGAGCCCTCCCTACAGTCAGGATAGCTCAAGCAGTTGTGAGTAAACAACACAATGAAAACACAGATGGAGACAGAATCGCAGAGAGTGAATGGGGGTAAAAAACAAAATTAACTACTGGTCTCAGGTAAGACAAGGAGCAAAATGTCATAAGAGGTAGAAGGTCTGATAAAAGTCTCCAAAGGGAGTAGCTATCTTTAGTGTCAAACACTAAAAAGGACCCAAGAAAGGTTAAGTATTAAGAAAAACAGAAGTCCACTGGAATGTAACACTGAGGAGTTCTGTGATTTTTAGAAGCCAAGAGGTAAGGATTTGGAAAGGGGAGATGGCAATAGAAAGGGGTCACTGACCTGAAAAGTCTTTTAAAAGATAGGAGACTGGATTTCTCTATCTTATCTCCAAGGCAAAAAAACACAATCAAACTCTAATGAAAATCCAGTAGGATAAACTCACTGGAGATGAAGGGGGAAAAATACCTTATTTATACTATTTGATGATTTTCATGATGTAAGTACAACTACCATGACTGATTTTAAGCTGCCAACTGTTGGCAAAATTCCTGAAAATTTAGCAATAACTCTGGACCATCACTGCAAGTTGGCTAGTCTGTGCTCTACTCTGCAACTAGGCAATTCCATGACAGCTTTCCTCTAAACCCAACTGATACTTAAACGATCTCTAGGACAACCCTTGCAGCAATTAACAGAACTACCTAACTCTTGTTACATATTGCTTTCTCAACTGTACTTCAACTGAAAAGGATTAGATGTTGAAAACCAAATGGCTCTGAGGCATGCCCGTCTGCACTAGGAAGGAAAGGATAAGAATCAAATGATCCAAAAAGCCTTTGGGGTTTCTCAGCGTGGCTCAGTGGTAAAGAATCCATCTGCAAACCAGGATACATGGCTTTGATCCCTGAGTCAGGAGGAACCCCTGGAAAAGGAAATGGCAACTCACTCCAGTATTCTTGCCTGGGAAATCCCATGGACAGAGGAACCTGGGGTGGCTACAGTTAAAAGGACTGCAAAGAGTTGGACACGATTTAGCAAGTGAAGAACAAAAAGCCTTAAAATGACCGTTTTATAATTGTTTCTTTTGTTAATGTCATTGCCCCATCTAGATCTGAAATGTCTTAAGAATAAGGAACTTGATTCAGACTCCAGTTTCCTCACAACCCACTTTGCTCTTGACTGCTGATTAACCAATTAAAAAAAATTGAAGTGAGCTCTGTATCAATGAAGGACTAAAAAAACAAAGTATCAGTGAAGCAACGGAAATAAGAACTAAACATCCTAGTAAACCCAATCCCAGTGAGAAACAAGCAGAGATGTGGGAAAGCTCCTTAGACTAAATCCAGATACTGAGGGAGTTCCAATCCACTCCCACTATTCACTGGTGGAGTGCCAGCTGCAGTCCCAGCTGCAGTTGCACCTGAAAAATGGGTATAGTAATACCTAGCACATAGGCTCAACCTTAAAGTTTAATATGATTACATTAGGGAACACCCAGCATAAGCGGGTACTTGCTTAGTAGAGTTCATAAGGCCACAGCAGTTTATATACTGGATACTGCTCAAGTGTACCGCCAAGAACACCAAAGAAGTCCACCTCTAACAAGGGACTATGACTGGTCAGCTGCTAAGGATAGTTTATACTCTATTACAGGGACCTCCTGCTGTCACCCCAAACGGCAAATTCCTTTCCTGGTTGTACCCTGGACTCGCAAGCCTCCCAGCAACATGGAGGCCAACAGACCCCATAAAAGTAGTCTCAGAGCCAAAAATGTTGTGATGAACTAGATGGTGACAGCTAACAGGTTCCTACTTGTTATCACACAACATTAGGCATCTTACCTCAACAAGTAAATTCATCGACAAACCAAAACAATGGACTTGTGAAGTGAGTGACTCACATAAACAAAAGTCAAAGGAAGAAGCTAGTTTCTAGTATTTCACAACTTTTCCCTTCTGTCATCTTTCCAAACACCCCATCTATCATGGGACTTTATATTATCCTCTGTCATTTAGGTTATGTTTCATAACGCAAATTTCTCCCAGCATCTGAAGTAGAACTGTTGTCAAAATATTAAACACATACGGGGATTAGCATATAGGTTTATTTACTTTCCAATCTGAATGACTGGCTTTGAGAAATAAGACAATAATGTTCACAGCAATGTAATCTTTTCACTAATTAACTGCTCTTCATCCACTGCTAAGTGCATGAAACTACTAGAAAACAATAAAATAAACAATACATTTGTATATCAAAAAGTTTCTCGTTAGAACCCTCCTAACTGTTGATGGGAATGTAAACTGGTGCAGCCACTATGGAAAACTGCATGGAGGTTCCTTAAAAAGAACATAAGAGATTCCATATGATCCAGCAGTCCCACTCCTGGGGATATATTTAGAAAAGATGAAAACTCTAATTTCAAAAGATATATGCACCCCAATATTCACAGTAGCACTATTTGTAAGTCCTGGAAGACAGGAAAGTAACCTAAATGTCCATCAACAGATGAATGAATAAAGAAAATGTGGTGTGTATATATACACACATACACATAAGGGAACACTGACCTCAAAAAAAGAATGAAAAATCGTCATTTGCAGCAACATGGATGAATCATACTAAGAGAACAAAATCAGAGAGAGACAGGTATCAGAGGATATTCCTTACATGTGGAATAAAAAAATGATAAAAATTAACTTAGTTACAAAACAGAAACAGACTCAAATATAGAATACAAATTTATGAATACCCAAAGGGAAAGGGGGGAGGGATAAATTAGGAATTTAGGATTAACAGATACACACCACTATAAGTAAAACAATAAACGACAACCTACTGTATGGCACAGTGAACTATATTCAATACCTTGTAATAACCTATAATGGAAAAGAATCTGAAAAGAATATATATATATTTATTTTTTTTTTGCACTGAATCACTTTAATGTACACCTGAACACAATAGAGCAAATCACTTATACTTCAATAAATAAATTTTTTTTAAAAAAGCTTCCCACTAGACATCTTTCTCCCACTTTCATAAAGGTTTCTACACATGTCTTCTGAAGAGCAAACACACACATTTCTCCAGTAACGCCAGAACACGTGGAAGCAAAGGAAGATCTCTGAGAGATTATTGAGTGAACTTGCTATCCAAATCGTGTTAACTTTCTTTCTGTAAACTATCTAGTAAATTACATATTTTCTGAAAACTAAAGCCTTAGACTCACTCCCCCAGCCCCTTTCCCTCCGACAGCCCCTTCCGACCCGCGGCTTCTGGGTTGAACCTGGACTGTCGGTCCACCACTGCCCCGAGGAAGCGCCGCCCCTTTCTCAGGCTCCGGAGACACTCGGGCGGACTGCACTTTCGCCCTCGCTACCGGCTGCACCGAGCGCAGCGCTTAACTGAGGTCGGAAGCCGCGCTCGGAAGCGGACAGTGACTCGGCCATTTCCCGTGACTCGAGTCAAGTGCAGCGACGCCGCTCAGCGCCCGTGGGTCCAGCTGGGGCAGGGCTGGGGTCCGCAGCCGTCTCTGCCGCAAAACTGACCTCAGCATGGCTGGGTGCCCAGCCACTTCCGCGGCCGCCCGGCGGAGCCGCTCACACGACCCCGCGGGACCCATCGGCCGCGGGGGTCAAGCGGCCTCCTGGCGCACCCGGGGTCACATTCAGACCCGAAGGGCGCCCGCTGAGGGCAGAGCGGGGTCAGAGGTTCTCTCCCCCGCGCCGCGGGATTCGCGCCGGGGCGGGACAACCGAACGACTGGGCAGGTTAGAGTCCTTAGCACTGCCCGCGCGCCCGAGCCAGAAGCAGCCCCCGCTGCACTGACCTCTCACTCGGGTCCGCCGAGTCCACCTCCTCCTCCTCTGCCGCCATGGCTGTCGCGCGACGGCCTGACAGTACCTCCTAGCCGGCTGACAGGCCGACTGGGATGCTTGGGGCCGCGGCCGCCTTAAGGCCGCCGCCCGCGCATGCGTCGCCCGCCCACTCGCAGGACAGGACAGCGCGCGTGCGCGTGCCGGGCCAAGCCGCCCCACCCACCAGCCACGCCGGCGTCATCTTGTCTGACGCGCTTTGCTGTGAGCGCTAGGCGGTACCGTCCACCCGCGGGAAACCGGTGAGGCTCGTCCAGCAGCTTTAGGTGGTAACCAGCTTCAATAATGACTGATTAATGCATCATCCGCTGATATTGAGTGTCAGGTGCTGGGCACTGGACTAGTACCTAGCAGTACCTTGGGGACTGAGGTGCGACTTGCCCAGAAAGAGCCCGGCTAGCGTTCAGTAAATGTTGCATTCTCTAATGGAAATGCGTTGATGGAGGAGCTGAGTGGCCTTCGGCCGGCCCTTCCCCGCAGGTGGGTGGCCAGAGGGAGAGGGCGACTGGCCTTTTAGTCAGTCGATATTCACTGATAATGCCGGGCACTACTCCAGACCCTGGAGTTAACAGGAGTGACCCATACCAGCAGCCCCCGTCCATCCCGCCCTCTGTGCACAGGGACGGGTGAGAAGAGTCGGCGTTTAGATACTCAAGAGTTCTTGAGGGGGCATCACTAATGTAAATATCAAAACTTCTTGACCTGTTTTCAAGTCTTTTAGCCATCAGATACTGCCTGCTTTTGTATTGCTATCACTCCCTACCGTTCATTCTTTCCTATTTACCATTTGCTCACTATGTGCCCACTCTGTTCTTTGTTGTTGCTATTTAGTCCCTCAGTGGTGTCTCAGCCTTTGCGAGCCTATGGACTGCAGCACTCCAGGCTTCCCTGTCCTTCTTTATCTCCAGGAGTTTGCTCAGACTCATGTCCATTGAGTCCATGATGCCATCCAACCACTCTCTTCTAGGCATTAAGAAACAATGGATTGAAACAAGGCTCCCGCTTTCTGGAACCTACTCTAATATATTGGGCTTCCCAGGTGGCCTTAGTGGTAAAGAACCCACCTGCCAATGCAGGAGACCCAGGAGACACAGGTTTGATCCCTGGGTCAGGAGGATCCCCTGGTGGAGGAGATGCCAACTCACCCCACTATTCTTGCGTGGAGAATCCCATGGACAGAGGAGCCTGGCGGGCTACAGTCCATACGGTCACAAAGAGTTGGACCTGACTGAAGCAACTTAGCGTGCATCGCGCACACACTGTAATATATTACCCTTTATTTTAGATTCAGCCCCTTGCTCTCCTTCCCTAATTCTACTCTCTCTCTGTAGCCTCTTTCTCCTCTGAGCCGCCCAACCCAGGGAGTTTCTGGCACTCATCTGATACTCAGATTTTCAGCCTTGTCTAGTCGTTGTGACTTTTTAACGGACATTATTGAATATTCTTCCAACTACACTGGAAGTTCCTTGAGGATAGGGATGGCGTCCTCTGTGATTGAGGGGGGGAAAGGCAACTTACTATCTTTTGGGGCATATCAATAACTGATAAGTGTTTTTATTATATCTGATCCAATTCATAAATACGTTAGGGAAGAGTAGAACATATAAAAGCCCTGTTCCAGGAATTTATGGTGTTGCTAGAGACTTGCAGTGTGTTTGCAGAAACTGACCCTCTAACATCTCCATCTATCAGACCATATCTATACTGAGGGCACCTCTTTTTATAAGGTCCAGACTGGTTGTTGAGGACTCCACTGCATGGAGTACTGTCCCAGTCCCGTGGTACTGAGTTCAGTATCAAAACCTAAGAATATGAAAGCAACTCCTGCAGCACCTTCAGAAAATTGAACTGGCGAGTATGCACCCACAAGACTTTATGGACCTGGAGCCCACTCTCATAGATGCCTATGGCTGCTGCACAGTAAAAAAAAAAAAAAAAAAATTAAATCACCATTGATCCAGTACTGAAGTCTATTCAGAAATTGACACAGCAGTGCATAGGGCTGTGGGATTTCATGATCTTCCCCGACTCTGAGGGTAGCTCCACCCAGGCTTTACCTTGCTCCTGCTGGTGGTAGAGCAGTCCGTGACCATGGCAACATGTCCGAGCTGGAATTAGCCATCTACCCAGCCTCTGGGTGCTGCCCGAAGTGGAGGAACCCTACTGCTCCATTTTTAATTCCACACCACCCTGGAGTTCCTAGACTGTGTCTTCTTGGGAGGCACACAATCTGTTGATGCAGTCTATAGCTGGACAGCCCTTCCTACACCAACCTCAGTCACTGCTTGGGCCAGAACTTTTCCATCATTGCCTCCCTGCACTTTGGTGGGGATCCGAGAGCACACCCCCACAGAGTTACAGGCCAACCTGTTGCCCTGTTTCCAAGTCCATTTCTTTCTGGTGACCTTCTCACCAGTTACTTTGACTAAGCAGATATTATGTTGGTAGAGCCCTTCATGGATCATAGCCTTGTCTTGGCGAAGGCTATGAGGCTATGAGCCATGCCATGCAGGGCCACCGAAGATGGACAAGTCAGAGTGAAGAGTTCTGATGCAGTGTGGTCCACTGGAGGAGGGAATGGCAAACCATTCCAGTTTTCTTGCCACGAGAACCCCATGAACAGTATGAAAAGTCAAAAAGATACAACACCAGAACATGAGCCCCACCCCACCTTGGATCAGAAGGTTCCAGTATGCTACTGGGGAAGAGCAATGGTCAATCACTAATAGCTCCAGAAAGAATGAGGAGGCTGGGCCAAAGCGGAAGTGATGCTCAGTTGTGGATGTATGTGGTGGTGAAAGTAAAGTCCGATGCTGTAGGAAAAATATTGCATAGGAACCTGTGATGTTAGGTCCATGAATCAAGGTAAATTGGACATGGTTAAGCTGGAGATGGCAAGAGTGAACATCAACATTTTAGGAATCAGGGAACTCAAATGGATGGGAATATGCAAATTTAATTCAGATGACCATTATGTCTACTGCTGTGGGCAAGAATCCCTTGGAAGAAATGGAGTAGCCCTTAGAGTCAGCAAGAGTCTGAAATGCAATACTTAGGAGCAATCTCAAAAAACAACAGAATGACCTTGGTTTGCTTCCAAGGCAGATCATTCAACATCACAGTAATCCAGGTCTGTGCCACTAATGCTGAAGAAGTTGAAGTTGACCAGTTCTATGACAACTTACAAGACCTTCTAGAACTAACACCAAAAAAGATGTCCTTTTCATCTTAAAAGATTGGAATGCAAAAGTAGGAAGTCAGGAGATACCTGGAGTAACAGGCAAGTTTGGCCTTAGAGTACAAAATAAAGCATACACAGGTTACCAGAGATTTGTCAAGAGAACATACTGGTCATAGCAGACACTCTCTTCCAACAACACTAGAGACAACTCTACACATGGACCTCATCAGATGGTCAATATCAAAATCAGATTGATTACATTCTTTGCTACCAAAGATGGAGAAGCTCTATATAGTCAGCAAAAACAAGACCTGGAGCTGGCAGTAGCTCAGATCATGAACTCCTTATTGCAAAATTCAGACTTATATTGAAGAAAGTGGGGAAAAGCACTTGGCCATTCAGGGATGACCTAAATTAAATTCCTTGTGATTATACAGTGAAAATGATGGATAGATTTAAGGGATTAGATCTGGCTTCCCTGGTAGCTCAGGAGCTTCCCTGGTAGTTGAGCTGGTAAAGAATCTGCCTGCAATGCAGGAGACCCCAGTTTGATTCCTGGGTTGGGAAGATCTGCTAGAGAAGGGATAGGCTACCCACTCCAGTATCTGGGGCTTCCCTGGTGGTTCAGATGGTAAAGAATCTGTCTGCAATGTGGGAGACCTGGGTTCGATCCCTGAGTTGGGAAGATCCCCTGGAGAAGGGAATGGTTACCCACTCCAGTATTCTGGCCTGGAGAATTCTATGGACAGAGGAGCCAGGCAGGCTCCTGGGGCTCACAAAGAGTAGGACATGACAGAGCAACTTTCACTTTCACACTTTCAGATCTGGTAGATAGAGTACCTGAAGAACTATAAATAGAGGTTTGTAACCTTGCACAGGAGGTGGTAACCAAAACCATCCCAAAGGACAAAAAAAAAAAGGAAGACAGCAAAGTGGTTGTCTGAGGAGGCTGTACAAATAGCTGAGAAAAGAAGAAAAGTGAAAAGCGAGGTAGAAAGGGAAAGATATACCCAACTGAATGCAGAGTTCCAAAAAATAACAAGGATGGATGAGAAAGCTTTCTTAAGTGAACACTGCAAAGAAAAATAGAGGAAAACAATATAATGGGAAAGACTAGAAATCCCTTCAAGAAAATTGAAGCTATTGAGGGAACATTTCATAAAAGGATGGGCACAATAAAGGACAGAAATGGGAGAGACCTAACAGAAGCAGAAAAGATTAAGAAGAGGTCAGGAATACACAGAAGAACTATACAAAAAAGTCTTAACAACCTGGATTAACCATGGTGGTGTGGTCACTCGCCTAGAGCCTGACATCCTGGAGTGTGAAGTCAAGTGGGCCATAGGAAGCATTACTACAAACAAAGCTAGTGGAGGTTATAGAATTCCAGCTGAGCCATTTCAAATCCTGAAAGATGATGATGCTGTTAAAGTTCTGTGCTCAGTACGTCAGCAGATTTATAAAACTCAGCAGGGGCTACAGGATTGGGAAAAGATCAATTTTCATTCCAGTCTCTAAGAAGGGCAGTGCTAAAGAATGTTCAAACTGCTGCACAATTGCACTCATTTCACATGCTAGCAAGGTTATGCTCAGTAGCTTTCAAACTAGGCTTTAGCAGTACATGAACTGAGCAGTACAAGCTGGGTTTAGAAAAGTCAGAGAAATCAGAGATGAAATTGCCAACGTTCATTGGATCATAGAGAAAGCAAGGGAATTCCAGAAAAACATCTGCTTCATTGACTACACTAAAGCCTTTGACTGTGTGGATCACTTCAGAGATGGGAATACCAGACCACCTTACCTGTCTCCTGAGAAACCTG